CCCCTCCCCCTGCCACAGGCTCTACGTGGCTGTAGTCTTCGTTCAGGAGTGTGCTGGAGCAAAAGTCTGCAGCGAGTAGTGTCAGTCTTTTTCCAGGAAACACAAAATTGTTACTCTACCCTTAATTGGTTTAGTGGTGGACTTGGTAATTTTAGGTTAATGGTTGGACTGGATGATCCTAAAGGTCTTTTCTAACCTAAATGACTCTATGATTCTTTGAAAAGTATTATGCCTAAATAAGAGGTGCAGTATAAAAACTTCTCAATTCTCTGTGTTTATTACGCTTGCGTTTCGACCCCTCTGACATTCCCTCTGGGTCTGTAAATTTGACTGATGGAGACAAATCCTTCTGTTCCCTCTCTTACAACATATTTCATAGGTACTCAACTGGAAAATGTGGTTGAGAGGCTGTAAAAGAAATGCGCTCAGCAGCACAGTTCTCCCAAAACAGCTTTGTTATAAAACTGATTCAGAGAAAGTCCACCTCATTAGGAGTGCAGGGGACTTGGCTTTTACAGTGTTAGAGCTACACCGGAGCTGCACAGGTAGAATTTACACATGAGCCATGATCAGCATGATCTGAACTCTGTCCAGCAACTTCCGTAATCAAGTGCTTCCTTAAACCCAAGAGGACCTGTTAATCCCAAGTAGAACAGGATTTAAGTCAGTCCCTGTACAACCACCCATCTATATGTAGGGTAACTCCCTCTACCTTGGCTAAAGATTCCTGCAAGTGCAGTAGCTACAGCCACCTCCAGCAAGGAGCAGGGCTTACAGCTTCTCCTTCTCAGTGTTTACTTGAGGTCTGGACTGCAAAGCCTGTTGAGATTACCGGTTATGAGCTGTTGCATCAGTTACTCTATTGGAAACTTTGTGCAGGAAGTGCCTACAGCTGCCCCCACCTGTCTGGAGACATTTTTAACTGCTTCAGCAGCTACTCTTTTCTGAATTACAGGAAGTTTTTTTTCAAGGCATACATTCTTTAAAGCAGAGAGGGGGAACCTGTCATTTTTAGCACATGTGAGAACTTCAGTTAAACTTTATTAATGCTTCTATTCAGCCGGTAAACCAGACAAAGTGCAACATCCTCAATCAATTGCACAAGCCTTAAATACACTGGGTTCCTTTCTGTGGGTAGTAAAATTCTGCTAGCTTTACTTTCCTTAACTCCCCTGAGCCTAGCATGTTCTTTCCAACTTTAGAACACAATACAGAAGCTAGAGAAACTCATGACTTGCAAGTTGAAATCTCTTACAAAACCTGGTTATTTTATTTATACTGAGAGAACATACAGAAAAATCCCCAAACTTGGGATTTTATCCCTTCAGTACTGATATACACCAATGCATTTGGATTTCTTTGATCCCCAGTTTAGAAGAGTTTTAGGTGACCAGAAACTTCATCTATTACATCAGCTGGTCCCGGTCCAATGCCAAGGACTGTCTGGGAGCCTGGAGCTATCTGAGTACGACCCGCGTCTTGTATTAAGCTCACGGTCAGTCCGAGGTGTTTAGCATCAGTCAGGAGTTGGATCAGAGTCTCTTCATCAGGAGCTTTGAGGACCACTTTAGGTTGTCCGCAGTATTCCCACTGTTTCAGGAGTTCAGGATTTCTTCTCTGAACTTGCTTGTAGGCAGAAACAGCAGCATGGGAACACTGCGCTGCTACTTTCCCCTTTCCCATCTTCAAATCGTTGCGGACAATCAGCACCATCTTGAACTCCCCGGACTCTCCCATGATGTTAGCTTCGCTCCCCAGGTTGTTTGCAGATGCAGCCATTCTGGCTTTGGGCTGCCTTAAAAATCTCCCACGAATGCCCCATCCTAGGCACACTCCGCACACGACTCCAGCGACGACGCTGAGGAAGCCGGGTTGAGACAGATAATCCATGATGGATTCTGGAGACTGGCTAGGAAAGGGGGGGAAAGATAGAATTTACTCAAGCGTTTTTCAACTTGTGAGAGCTCACCTGGTTATTTGCAGACAAGGTTTGTTTAAAAAAAAGAATTATCCCATCTTAACAGATAGATGTGGTACTTCGGGACATGGTTTAGTGGGCACGGTGGTGTTGGGTTGATGGTTGGACTGATGATCTTAGAGCTCCTTTCCAACCTTAACGATTCCTAGTTTTTACTTTCATTATAAATAACCCAGCCACCAAGCCAAGAAACATGAAATTGCTGCTCTCCCCTTAATTGGTTTAGTGATGGACTTGGTAGTGTTGGGTTAACGGTTGGACTGGATGATCTTAAAGGTCTTCTCCAACCTAAACGATTCGATGATCTTCGTGCATGGGGAAAGGATGTTCAGAGACGCCTTCCTCGGCACGCAGTCTCCTGCTTTCCCAGCGACAGCTTCCGAAGCGCAGACACGTCACCAGTGACGGTGCACAACCTACCGGTGACTGGCTTCAACGGGGGAAGCAGAACGAAATAAAAAAAAAAAAAAAAACAAACCGCAAATTATGTTAAAGTTACACCTAAAAACGGTGAGAGAAACGGTAAAACGGTGGCGTTTTTTAAAGTCAATACCCCAAAATCTACTCGAGGGCTACTTCCCGGGAGGGAGCGAGGGGCGGAGCAGAGCCGCCCCCAGCTCCGCCGAGGGCTGCGGCAGCTC